CAGGCCCTTCTCCTGCATCTCCCAGCCCCCTCTCCAGGCTGCAACCCCTCCCCACGCTCCCCCACAGCTCAGCCTCCAGGCACCGTCTTTCCTCACAGGGTCCCCCAGCGCTGCCCCAACCTGGGCCAGTCCTGCCTGAGACCAGCCCCCCTCGGCTCCTTCCTGTGACCCCGGCCACGAGCCACCGTGAGTTTCATAGTAAACACCTTCAACATGAAAATGAACACCTCCCCCTGCACCCTCCCCATCCTGCCCCTGCCTCTCCGCGGCCCCCTCTCCACCCGTCTGCGGGCTCCACCAGACACGCTCACGCTAAGTCACGCATGCACAGGCTGGTCCCCGTCACGCCCCGGGCCTGGCAGCTCCTCCTCATGGCAGCCCCTTTCCCTCCCCCCCTAACCAAGGGGGAGCCCAGGCCCAGACCCCAGACCTCTGTGCTTGGTCCACGCCCTCGGCCACCTCTTCCTGGCGGCGGCTTTAAATCCCCCTGGACAGTGCCCAGGAGTGTACGCACCCCCTGCACCCACCGTCCCTGCTGGCCAAGGTGCATCGCAGACCCCCCACCTGCTCCTCCTGGGGCCCCCTCCACCCTGGGCCCCAGAGCCCCATGTCCACATGGCCGGCTGCCTCAGCCCCCAGCCCCGAAGCCCTGCCACATGGAGCGAGGGACCCACGGCCCCGCCGGGCACCACACAGAACTGATCTGAGGCGTCCGGGCCTCCGTGAGGGAGCTGCGCCCGCGGCCCGGGAGAAGGCAGGGAGCGGCCCGCAGAGTGCGGCCATCGGAGTGAAAACCGGCGAGCGGGGCCTTGTCAGGGCTGACGTGTGCTGCTCCGTGACGGAAGCCAAGGTCCCACCCAGGCTGGGAAACACACCGGCAAGCTCACATCTGGGCCCACACAGGGCCTCGCTCCCTGATTCCATTTGTCGACACCTGCGCTGGGAACACCAGTCCATGCAGACAGAGCCGGGCGGGAGGGGGCGGGAGGGGATCCAGCAGCTCGGTCCTCACACAGCCGGAGCCGCTGCGTCTTCAGTGACGGACAGACACGCCAGCGAAGGCGTGAGGACCGAGATCTGAACACGACGTCGACTTCGCCTCGCCAGCCCCACAGCCCCGGGCACGGTGACTCCGGGACACGGGACAGTGACCAACATTGTCCCTAGAGAAGATGACGCCCCCTGGTCCCAGCTCCGTTAGGTCAGGGATCGATAACAGAACCAAGTATCGGGCAGAAAGCCACCCCGTTAGCAAGCACGCGCCCCACAGCCCGCGGCCGAGGAAGCGATCGCGACAGAAATGGGACCCGAACGCCAACATCAGCTCTCGGGCCGCGAGGCTGCGTTCACGAAGGGAGTTTCAGCTGTGGGTGCGTCTATGGGGAAACAGTAAAGGCTGAGACCCAGAGAGGTGATGTGAGGAAGAACCAAGTAAACGCAAACCCCCGGATAACAGGAAAATGTTTTTTAATTCGATAAAGAGAATCAACCAAGCCCAACGTTTAAGACTCATAAGATCAATAAACAATGGGAGATGCGAGTCATAAAAAAAAAAAGGCATCAAAAAGCCGTAACGACAGGAAACCCCTTACTCAGATGCTTATAGACTGAGAGGCTATTATGAACTTCAGGGCAATAAACTAGGAATGGAGAAAAAATGGGCTGTTGTTAGAATCAAGGGCAAATGGAGGCCGGCCTTGGAAATACCTGAGCAGACCAAACCGGGTTAGTCATCCCAGCAGAACCCAACGCACGACGGGTTCAGGGCAGGCTGCCCAAATGTGCCGCTGCGATGTGCTGATTGTTATGAGTTAAATTACTTAGGAATCAGCAGACTCGTCGAGTCCACGCCTGGGAACAGATCCGAAAGCCCCCAACATACTAATTCGAAAGAATACATGCACCTCTATGTTCACAGCAGCTTCATTTACAAAAGCCAAGGTCTGGAAGCAGCCAAGTGCCCATCAGCAGACGAGTGGGTAAAAAGTCGTGTAGATCCACACGGCGGAACACTAAGCAGCCGTAAGAAAGAAGGGACTCTTACCTCTAGCGACAGCACGGACGGACCTGGAGAATGCTGTGCTGAGTGAAATAAGCCAGTCAGAGAAAAAGAGACACCGAATGGTGTCACTTACATGTGGAATCTAATGAACAAAGTAAACAAACAAAATAGAAGCAGACTCACAGATGCAGAGAGCAGACCGACAGCTGTCAGAGGGGAGGTGGGTTTCGGGCTGGGTGAAAAGGGTGAAGGGATTAAGGGGGAAAAATTCATAGCCAGACAACAGTGTGGTGGTTACCAGAGGGAAAGGGGGTGGAGGGGGTAGGAGAAGGTGAAGGGGATCCATGGTGAGGGCAGGAGACTCGGCCTGGGGTAGTGAACACACAACACAATATACAGATGACGAATCACAGACTTGTGCCCCTGGAACCTGTGTAACTTTATTAACCAATGTCACCCAATTTCAAAAAGAAACAGCCGGTGTCAGAAGGACCCCTGACCCCTTCGATGCCCCCCCCCGAAGCAGGTAATAAATCTCCCGCATGCCAGGTGCCCCCCCCCAGACACGGGGGGTTCGGGGCTGAGAATCAAACTAGAAATTACTAACAAAAAGGCAACTAGAATTTGCTAAACGTTCAAGAAGTAAGCGGCCCACTTTTATTTTATTTAAGAAACGCATATCACATATATTGTTGTTGTTGTTGTTGTTAATCCTCACCCGAGGATGTTTTCTCATTGATTTTCAGGGAGAGAGGGAGAGAGAGGGAAAGACAGAGAGAAACACATTGATTGGTTGACTCCTGCACGAGCCCTGACCAGGGCCAGGGCCCGAGGAGCCTGCAACCCAGGCACGTGCCCTTGACCGGAATCGAACCCGGGACCCTGTGGTCTGCAGGTCGACGCTCTATCCACTGAGCCAAACAGGCCAGGGCAGCAGCCCTCTTTTAAAATAAAACATGAATCAAAGCCAATTTCAAAATGATCTGAATTAAATGAGAACGAGAATGTGACCTGTCAGAGCACTGCAATGCAGCCACGTGGTGATTGGGGGAAGGGTCCCGATTTCAGTGCGTAAGTTAGAAAAGAAAACAAACTGAACATTATCTAAGCTGCCATCTCCAGAGGCTGGAAAGAGGCCGATTAAACAAGAAGAAGGTAGGAGCTCAGCAACAATAAAAAGGAGGTAAGGCTTCCATCAAATGGAAAGCAGGTGCACTCTAGAGAAAACAGGCAAAACCAAAAGTTGGATCTTTGAAGCATTTTCTAACGGATCAACCTCTCCACAGGCTGGTCAAGAAGAAGGGGAACACGGATTACCAGCAGCAAGAGTGGAAAGGGGCGGCAGGACTGACGCACGAGACTGAAATGATGATACGACCCTATGAGCATCCGCATGCCAGGAATTTGACAGCTCACGTCAAACGGGCATTTTCCTTGAAAGACACGGCTCAACCAAACTGACATAATAGGAATCTGGACGGGCCTATTTCTGTTAAAGAAATTCCCAAGTGAAACAAGGTCTAGGTGGCATCACAGTTCAATTTTCCCAAATATTTAAGGGAAAAAATATATATAAAGAAGAAAAAAGCAGCCAAAAAAAGAAAAACAATTAAAAATTTTAAGAAATCTTATATAAAGCCTTTCACTGAATGGGAAAACCAGGCTCTTTTCAACTCTTTTCATGAAGCCATAAGTTTAACACCCAAACCTGTCAAGAATGTTACAAGAAAGGAATAGTAAAGGCCGATCTCACTCATAAAAAGAGACGCGAGTCCTGCCTGAGTGGCTCAGTTGGTTGAGCATCGTCCGGGGTTTAGGGCTCGATCCTCAGTAGGGGGCGTGCAGGAGGCAGCTGATGTATGTTTCGCACATCAATGTTCCTTTCTCTCTCTCCCTCCTCCTTCCTCTCTCTCTCAAAAAAATTAATAATAATAAAAAACATAAACAAAAAAAATTTTAGTCAAATCCAGCGACATATGAAACAAAACAGCAGGACCGCATGGAGTTTAGTCCGAGTACAAAGTTGATTTAATATTTGACAATCCCTCCACGTAACCCACCACGCTCACAGCCGAAGGAACAAATCTATGTATTGCCATCTTAATCGATGCAGAGGACAGTGTGTGGTAAAATGCCAGAGCTGTTCGTTTGAAACTTCCTAGTAAACCAGGTACAAAAGGGAACCGTCTTTAATGTGTGCAGCCATGTCACCCTTCGTGGTGAAACTCTGAGCACTTTCCTTCTGCGCTCGGAAAAAAACAGCAACAAAGAGATGTCCACTCTCCCACCTGCATTCAACATTATACGGAAAGAGCTGGCCAAAGCAATAACGCAAGAAAAAGAAATAAAATGATAAAGATGGGAAAGAGTTGCAGATGAGTGTGCACAAGTCTAAAGGAATCTATTCGCTATTGTAATTCGTAGGTGTGTTTAGGAACGTCACCAAATTCCAAGTCAGTAAAATGAAATCAGTTGTTTTTCTAAACACACTAGAACCGCTTAGAAAGTGAAACGTTAACATGTCACCGCCAACAGCATTAGAAAAGGTCTTGCGTCCCTGCACCTGAAACCACCAGACTGAATGGTCATGGGCGGGAAGACCCCATGTTACCATGTGAATTCTCGCCCAGACGGACCCATAGAGTCTGTGCGTGTGCAAACCAACCATTCGACACCAGCATTTGCAGGGCAGAGCCACAGCCCACGGAGCCCGACAGGCCTCCACGAACAGCCAGGAGACCGGGATGGGACGGACTGACCGCCAAGCCCTGGGAGGACCACAGGGCAGGTCCACGGAGCAGATGGAGAAACACCAGCGGGTCTGATTTTCACAGAAACACGGGCACAGGGGCGGCGGGCGGGCGGCAATACTGACTGTTTTCTTCTCTCCAGTCTCCTTCCAAGGAGGAGGCCGACAGGAGCCGCTTCCTCTCCCCGGGCTCCATCCCAGCCTCTGGCAGCTCTTCCTTCCTCCCTTCTGCTCCAGGCCCTGCAGGGAGGCGGGTGTCAGAGATGGATCCAAGCCCGGAGCAGGGGCAGGTGAGGGGGGGGCAGGTCTGAAGTCGGGCAAACTGAAGGTTGGGAGCAGGTCTGGAGTAGGAGCAGGTGTGGGGAGGGCAGGTGTCGGCCCTGCAGGGCGGGTGTCAGAGATGGATCCAAGCCCGGAGCAGGGGCAGGTGAGGGGGGGGCAGGTCTGAAGTCGGGCAAACTGAAGGAGGTGAGCAGGTCTGGAGTAGGAGCAGGTGTGGGGAGGGCAGGTGTGGGGAGAGAGGGGGGGACAGGTGGACAGAGGTCACGGGAGGAGGGACAGGTGCAGGTGGACAGAGGTCACGGGAGGAGGGACAGGTGCAGGTGGACAGAGGTCACGGGAGGAGGGACAGGTGCAGGTGGACAGAGGTCACGGGAGGAGGGACAGGTGCAGGTGGACAGAGGTCACGGGAGGAGGGACAGGTGCAGGTGGACAGAGGTCACGGGAGGAGGGACAGGTGCAGGTGGACAGAGGTCACGGGAGGAGGGACAGGTGCAGGTGGACAGAGGTCACGGGAGGAGGGACAGGTGCAGGTGGACAGAGGTCACGGGAGGAGGGACAGGTGCAGGTGGACAGAGGTCACGGGAGGAGGGACAGGTGCAGGTGGACAGAGGTCACGGGAGGAGGGACAGGTGCAGGTGGACAGAGGTCACGGGAGGAGGGACAGGTGCAGGTGGACAGAGGTCACGGGAGGAGGGACAGGTGCAGGTGGACAGAGGTCACGGGAGGAGGGACAGGTGCAGGTGGACAGAGGTCACGGGAGGAGGGACAGGTGCAGGTGGACAGAGGTCACGGGAGGAGGGACAGGTGCAGGTGGACAGAGGTCACGGGAGGAGGGACAGGTGCAGGTGGACAGAGGTCACGGGAGGAGGGACAGGTGCAGGTGGACAGAGGTCACGGGAGGAGGGACAGGTGCAGGTGGACAGAGGTCACGGGAGGAGGGACAGGTGCAGGTGGACAGAGGTCACGGGAGGAGGGACAGGTGCAGGTGGACAGAGGTCACGGGAGGAGGGACAGGTGCAGGTGGACAGAGGTCACGGGAGGAGGGACAGGTGCAGGTGGACAGAGGTCACGGGAGGAGGGACAGGTGCAGGTGGACAGAGGTCACGGGAGGAGGGACAGGTGCAGGTGGACAGAGGTCACGGGAGGAGGGACAGGTGCAGGTGGACAGAGGTCACGGGAGGAGGGACAGGTGCAGGTGGACAGAGGTCACGGGAGGAGGGACAGGTGCAGGTGGACAGAGGTCACGGGAGGAGGGACAGGTGCAGGTGGACAGAGGTCACGGGAGGAGGGACAGGTGCAGGTGGACAGAGGTCACGGGAGGAGGGACAGGTGCAGGTGGACAGAGGTCACGGGAGGAGGGACAGGTGCAGGTGGACAGAGGTCACGGGAGGAGGGACAGGTGCAGGTGGACAGAGGTCACGGGAGGAGGGACAGGTGCAGGTGGACAGAGGTCACGGGAGGAGGGACAGGTGCAGGTGGACAGAGGTCACGGGAGGAGGGACAGGTGCAGGTGGACAGAGGTCACGGGAGGAGGGACAGGTGCAGGTGGACAGAGGTCACGGGAGGAGGGACAGGTGCAGGTGGACAGAGGTCACGGGAGGAGGGACAGGTGCAGGTGGACAGAGGTCACGGGAGGAGGGACAGGTGCAGGTGGACAGAGGTCACGGGAGGAGGGACAGGTGCAGGTGGACAGAGGTCACGGGAGGAGGGACAGGTGCAGGTGGACAGAGGTCACGGGAGGAGGGACAGGTGCAGGTGGACAGAGGTCACGGGAGGAGGGACAGGTGCAGGTGGACAGAGGTCACGGGAGGAGGGACAGGTGCAGGTGGACAGAGGTCACGGGAGGAGGGACAGGTGCAGGTGGACAGAGGTCACGGGAGGAGGGACAGGTGCAGGTGGACAGAGGTCACGGGAGGAGGGACAGGTGCAGGTGGACAGAGGTCACGGGAGGAGGGACAGGTGCAGGTGGACAGAGGTCACGGGAGGAGGGACAGGTGCAGGTGGACAGAGGTCACGGGAGGAGGGACAGGTGCAGGTGGACAGAGGTCACGGGAGGAGGGACAGGTGCAGGTGGACAGAGGTCACGGGAGGAGGGACAGGTGCAGGTGGACAGAGGTCACGGGAGGAGGGACAGGTGCAGGTGGACAGAGGTCACGGGAGGAGGGACAGGTGCAGGTGGACAGAGGTCACGGGAGGAGGGACAGGTGCAGGTGGACAGAGGTCACGGGAGGAGGGACAGGTGCAGGTGGACAGAGGTCACGGGAGGAGGGACAGGTGCAGGTGGACAGAGGTCACGGGAGGAGGGACAGGTGCAGGTGGACAGAGGTCACGGGAGGAGGGACAGGTGCAGGTGGACAGAGGTCACGGGAGGAGGGACAGGTGCAGGTGGACAGAGGTCACGGGAGGAGGGACAGGTGCAGGTGGACAGAGGTCACGGGAGGAGGGACAGGTGCAGGTGGACAGAGGTCACGGGAGGAGGGACAGGTGCAGGTGGACAGAGGTCACGGGAGGAGGGACAGGTGCAGGTGGACAGAGGTCACGGGAGGAGGGACAGGTGCAGGTGGACAGAGGTCACGGGAGGAGGGACAGGTGCAGGTGGACAGAGGTCACGGGAGGAGGGACAGGTGCAGGTGGACAGAGGTCACGGGAGGAGGGACAGGTGCAGGTGGACAGAGGTCACGGGAGGAGGGACAGGTGCAGGTGGACAGAGGTCACGGGAGGAGGGACAGGTGCAGGTGGACAGAGGTCACGGGAGGAGGGACAGGTGCAGGTGGACAGAGGTCACGGGAGGAGGGACAGGTGCAGGTGGACAGAGGTCACGGGAGGAGGGACAGGTGCAGGTGGACAGAGGTCACGGGAGGAGGGACAGGTGCAGGTGGACAGAGGTCACGGGAGGAGGGACAGGTGCAGGTGGACAGAGGTCACGGGAGGAGGGACAGGTGCAGGTGGACAGAGGTCACGGGAGGAGGGACAGGTGCAGGTGGACAGAGGTCACGGGAGGAGGGACAGGTGCAGGTGGACAGAGGTCACGGGAGGAGGGACAGGTGCAGGTGGACAGAGGTCACGGGAGGAGGGACAGGTGCAGGTGGACAGAGGTCACGGGAGGAGGGACAGGTGCAGGTGGACAGAGGTCACGGGAGGAGGGACAGGTGCAGGTGGACAGAGGTCACGGGAGGAGGGACAGGTGCAGGTGGACAGAGGTCACGGGAGGAGGGACAGGTGCAGGTGGACAGAGGTCACGGGAGGAGGGACAGGTGCAGGTGGACAGAGGTCACGGGAGGAGGGACAGGTGCAGGTGGACAGAGGTCACGGGAGGAGGGACAGGTGCAGGTGGACAGAGGTCACGGGAGGAGGGACAGGTGCAGGTGGACAGAGGTCACGGGAGGAGGGACAGGTGCAGGTGGACAGAGGTCACGGGAGGAGGGACAGGTGCAGGTGGACAGAGGTCACGGGAGGAGGGACAGGTGCAGGTGGACAGAGGTCACGGGAGGAGGGACAGGTGCAGGTGGACAGAGGTCACGGGAGGAGGGACAGGTGCAGGTGGACAGAGGTCACGGGAGGAGGGACAGGTGCAGGTGGACAGAGGTCACGGGAGGAGGGACAGGTGCAGGTGGACAGAGGTCACGGGAGGAGGGACAGGTGCAGGTGGACAGAGGTCACGGGAGGAGGGACAGGTGCAGGTGGACAGAGGTCACGGGAGGAGGGACAGGTGCAGGTGGACAGAGGTCACGGGAGGAGGGACAGGTGCAGGTGGACAGAGGTCACGGGAGGAGGGACAGGTGCAGGTGGACAGAGGTCACGGGAGGAGGGACAGGTGCAGGTGGACAGAGGTCACGGGAGGAGGGACAGGTGCAGGTGGACAGAGGTCACGGGAGGAGGGACAGGTGCAGGTGGACAGAGGTCACGGGAGGAGGGACAGGTGCAGGTGGACAGAGGTCACGGGAGGAGGGACAGGTGCAGGTGGACAGAGGTCACGGGAGGAGGGACAGGTGCAGGTGGACAGAGGTCACGGGAGGAGGGACAGGTGCAGGTGGACAGAGGTCACGGGAGGAGGGACAGGTGCAGGTGGACAGAGGTCACGGGAGGAGGGACAGGTGCAGGTGGACAGAGGTCACGGGAGGAGGGACAGGTGCAGGTGGACAGAGGTCACGGGAGGAGGGACAGGTGCAGGTGGACAGAGGTCACGGGAGGAGGGACAGGTGCAGGTGGACAGAGGTCACGGGAGGAGGGACAGGTGCAGGTGGACAGAGGTCACGGGAGGAGGGACAGGTGCAGGTGGACAGAGGTCACGGGAGGAGGGACAGGTGCAGGTGGACAGAGGTCACGGGAGGAGGGACAGGTGCAGGTGGACAGAGGTCACGGGAGGAGGGACAGGTGCAGGTGGACAGAGGTCACGGGAGGAGGGACAGGTGCAGGTGGACAGAGGTCACGGGAGGAGGGACAGGTGCAGGTGGACAGAGGTCACGGGAGGAGGGACAGGTGCAGGTGGACAGAGGTCACGGGAGGAGGGACAGGTGCAGGTGGACAGAGGTCACGGGAGGAGGGACAGGTGCAGGTGGACAGAGGTCACGGGAGGAGGGACAGGTGCAGGTGGACAGAGGTCACGGGAGGAGGGACAGGTGCAGGTGGACAGAGGTCACGGGAGGAGGGACAGGTGCAGGTGGACAGAGGTCACGGGAGGAGGGACAGGTGCAGGTGGACAGAGGTCACGGGAGGAGGGACAGGTGCAGGTGGACAGAGGTCACGGGAGGAGGGACAGGTGCAGGTGGACAGAGGTCACGGGAGGAGGGACAGGTGCAGGTGGACAGAGGTCACGGGAGGAGGGACAGGTGCAGGTGGACAGAGGTCACGGGAGGAGGGACAGGTGCAGGTGGACAGAGGTCACGGGAGGAGGGACAGGTGCAGGTGGACAGAGGTCACGGGAGGAGGGACAGGTGCAGGTGGACAGAGGTCACGGG